CCACTATGCTGTATATCTGAAACTAATATAAAATAATATTGAATGTTAACTGTAACTGGAAAAAAATCAGTAATTTTAAAAAAACATGTTATTTAACCAAGACAATGCTGAGCACTTTACATACACTATCTAATGTAATACACATACTAACTGTATAAGGGATAGAGAGAGATTAAATAACTTGTGTAAAGTCATTAATTGAATAAATGGTACAGTCTGGACATCAACTTGAGATTTTCTGACTCCAGAGACCATTGTTACACCATATCAGCTTGGTATTTTTCTCCTACATGAAAAAACTAAGGTTGACAAAGGTTAAGTGACATTCCCAACATCATTAGCACTTTGGTGGCAGAACGCAGTCTAGACTCCAGATTTTCTGACTGCCGGGTGTTTGCTCTTCCTACCCTTCTGCAGTGGGCGGCAGTTGATCAGACATGGAATAAAATAAAAGCCCACCAAAATGCAGCTGGAGCGCCTTGTGGCGCCTGAGCCTGCTACCCTGCAGAGCTCAGCCTTCTGCATTTCCGTGAATTGCCAGGGAGTGTTTTGCTCTGTGGGAAATCAGGTGTAGAAGTACCTTTATGAGTTATAGCTATTAAAAATGTACACATCCACACATCGTTTTTCTTTTTTATAATAGTGAAGACTGAGTATAATAAATCAGAAAAGGGGTTTCTGATAGTTCACTTTATAAATTGCTTTTAATCCTAGTTACAGTTAAACTAAAATTGAGATTATTTTACAATTTTCTGTATTGTCAAGAGTAACATGGCAAAATGTGGTGAAATAGTTATTTTCTCAGAAATGCTGGATGCATCTCTAAGTTTAAGCAAGTTTCCAATGTACTGTGTCTGTTTCAAAATTGTCAGCAACAGAATGGAAACTCTAGCACTTATCAAAGGATCAGGTACTGAAAGAAAAATAATCTGCCTTTTAACTGTCACATGGCTTCCATAAATCAAAGCCATTTTCTGGAAGGAATTAGTTGTTTCCTTTACTGAATGAGCAACATTGGCTGTTGACCTTTGATAAGTGGAACCTAGGGTGTGATTTGGGCATTTCTTCTTTCGTTTAGTGCTTTCTGCTTCCTGAGTGCCTGCAGAGCACGTGAAAGTGTAGTGTATAGCATGATGGGAGGAAGAAAAACATGATGACTCCGGGAGACCCTGTTCTGACCCTCACAGACGTTGATAGCTATGTCATATCAAGTAGAGATTCTTAATCTCACATTCCTCCTTTCTCCCTTCATGTTCTCTCTTACACCCAAACTGTGCTGTATTTTGATCCTGCAATACTACTGAAAAATAGGTGCTCTATACTCGATAAAGAATGATGTATTGTAACTTTGTCTATCATTTGTATCCAGAGTGTGGTTTGTCCTGCTACATGGAGCTTTCTAGTCCTACCCTTTCATGTTACACACACTAAAGTAAGTCATGAAAAAGAAAGATAAACTATAAAAACATAAAAAGCCCAATGTCAGTGCACAGACGGTGGAAACTGTATGTCTAAGAAAATCCTAACAGAAGAAATACATTTTCTCCTTGCTAAGTAATGGTGAGGTAGTGGGTGGGCAGCTACCCATATTCCAAAGACTTGTTGTGCCACATTGAAAGTGGATTTGCTGTAAAGACCTGTACTCAGAAAACTGTAAGACACTGAAGAAACAAACTGAAGAAATAAAAATAAATGGAAGCATATACTGTGCTCATGGATAGGAAGAATTAACATCATTAAAATGTACGTACTACCCAAAGCAATCTATACTTTCAAGGTAATCCTATCAATATACCAATGGCATTTTTCACAGAACTAGAAAAAATAACATTAAAATTTATATGGAACCACAAAAGACCCCAAAAAGCCACAGCAATCTTGAGAAAGAACAAAATTGGAGGTATCACACTACCTGATAGCAAAATATACTACAAGGCCATAGTAATCAAAACAGTGTGGTACTGGCATAAAAACAGACACATAGGTCAGTGGAACAGAATAGAGAGCCTAGAAATAAACTCATGCCTATATGGCCATTTAATATATGACAGAAGAGGCAATAATATACAGTGTGGTAAAAACAGTCTACTAAATAAATGGTGCTGAGAAAACTGGACAGATACATGCAAAAAACAAAACAAAACAAAAAACCAAAACTGTCAACCTTATTGCTCAGCATACAAGAATAAACTCAAAATAAAGACTTAAATGTAAGACCCAAAAACCTAAAGATCCTAGAAGAAAACATAAGCTGTAAACTCTCTCATTTTGCTCTTAGAAATGTTTTTTGTGATATGTCAAAGGCAAACAAAATAAAAAATAAATGGGACTACATCAAACAGCAAAGGAAACCATTAACAAAACAAAAGTTCTGAATGGGAGAAGGTATTCACCAGTGATATATCTGATAAGGGGTTAACATCCAAAATTTATGAAGAGCTCACACAACTTAACACCAAAAAAAAACTAGCAATTCAATTAAAATTGGGCAGAGGACCTGAATAGACATTTCTCCAAAGAGGACATACAAATGGCCAGTACACATATGAGAAGATGCTTAAGGTCACTAATCATCAGAGAAATGCAAATGAAAGCCACAGTGAGATACCACCTCACACCTCAGGATGGCTGTCATCAATAAATCAAAGTGTTGGTATGGATGTGGAGAAAAGGGAACCCTCATGCACTGTTGGTGGGATTGCAAATTAGTGCAACTACTATGGAAAACAGTATGGAGGTTCCTAAAAAAATTAAAAATAAAACTATTTTATCACCCAGCAATTGTAATTCTGGGTAAAAAAAAGAGAAAGAGAGAGAGAAAGAGAAAGAGAAAGAGAAAGAGGGTTTGTTTAACCCCCTGAATCTCAACATCTTCACACGTTCGAGATCAAGACTAATATTGTTTGTTGGGCACAAGGGAATCTCTTCTCTGCAGAGATGCTGCCTGTGTCTGCTGGCCTTGCTTGTTATTCTGCTTCCTGTCTTTCCGAGAAAGAATGGGATGGATACTCTGATTACACAGGGAATGGCTGTAAAACAAGGAGATGGCAGCCCTCAGCCAGCCATGCAGTAGAACTCACATCCATGGAAATTGGGTCCCCTCCTGCCAGCCTTCAAACCTAGACTTCTTAGAAGAAGAAATTGTTCTGAATTTTTTCAGAATGTGCCTACTCACTGTGTGAGAAGCCAGTCTTATTACTCGTCAACCCATGTTTTATTTTTTTGGCCCCATCCTCACCCCAATTTCATTATTACATAGTGCAACGCTAAAGGATTTGTGTCTGTTTTCTGAATTGAGCTCTACCCTTAAAAGAGGATGTGCTATTGCTAATGGTATTATAAGGAGAATATTGCTGGCTCTGAAGCAGTATAAAAAATATTTTGAGTAATCATCATAATGAGGATCTCCTAGGAAGGATTTTGAGTGGGGATAGCACTTAGTATATTTCAGTTGTGTATATTGATTTTAAAAATCCAATTTCCTTATAATCATTTCATGTATATTATATGATCAGTGAATGAAGAGTTGCTGGAGAACTTTTGGGGCAGTGGAAAGAGGTGATTTAATGAGGCTGATCGGTGGATTGGTGAATAGGTTAATGGAGGCGGGGGCAGGAAATGACTGAGGGGCATCTCAGATTCCCCAGAAATCCGCTCCGCCTCAGTCAGAGGGTGGTTTAGATTAAGAGGTGGCTTGTTTTATATAAACATAAATCATACTTCTATGAACAGATAATTTGTTCTTCAATTGAAAGGGGAAATATTCCTAGTACTATTTTGTCTTAAAGTTACAGAGATCACATAATTTTCCTGTACTATGTAAATTAATTTACTACATATATTTTTATGTCTTCTAAAGCTGTAGAATGTCTTTATCTACTCATCTAAAAATGTTTTCTCATAGGTTTTATAGTTCAGATTTACTGCCTTATGTATGAAGAAAGGGTCTCCATCATTTTTTTATAAAAATCGCGTCTTGATAAAATACTTTGATAAAAAAGTTTATGAAGGGACCTTTTCACAAATAAACACGTGTTTTTCTAACTGAAGTTTGAAATGATGAAAAATATAGGAAAGAGGCTAGTTTGCCATCATCTGAGGCATTGGCCCCAAATGATGTGATTAAGAATGTTAGCATAATTTTATAAGTCAGTGATGCTTTATGGCTTGTTTTTCTTTGCTTGTTTTGCTAAATGAAAATAATAGGTTGATTTCCAGAGGCATAACTGAAGGAACATGTGGCCACAAAGGCCTAGCTATTTATGTCGCCACACATTTATTTCTTCTAAGGTAAACTAAATTGAAACTCCTGTATAAGTTTTTGTTGGACAATGAATATGTAATAAGAATATTTTTTGGAATTGATGTCTTAGAGATTGCAGGATGGAGGGCAAATAATTTTTTGTGTCCCCTTTGCTCCGTTCTCCATTTGAAAAGCTTTCCTATAGATATATTGATACAGATATAGATATAGATATCTTTATATCTATATAGTTATATATCTATCTATATGTATATATATATATCTTTGGTGCATAAAATATAGCTACTTAAAAGTACCTGCTAGATGCTAGGTGGGATCAGGCTAAAGCAAACACTGAAGTTACTCACAAAGAGAAAAACGCCACCACAAGTACTAAATCACTTCTCCCCACTTGGTGGGGTTATATAATATGATTTTATATGCTGAAGCTTCAGTTAATTTTTTAAAATGGATCAGAGTCACCTTTTGCCTTCTGTAGTAAACCACAAGTCATTACAGTTATTATAGCTTTTTGGAGCAATTCAGCCGTTGGGGTAGGGAGGAATGACTAAATTGTATGTATGGTGAAGTAAATGGTGCTATTCATATTGATAAGAATGTTTATTGTTCATATCTGTTTGTTATGGCCCTCATAATAGCATATTCATGTGGCTTAATTTCCCTAGTGACATCATACATGGGGGGTGGCGGAGGAAGACATGCTTTTTTGCTAACACCTATGTTTTCTTTCTATTAGGGTGTGTTGGAGAGCTTCCTGGGCACAGCTGTCTCTGGAGCCATCTTTTGCCTCTTTGCTGGTCAACCACTCACTATTTTGAGTAGCACAGGACCTGTTCTAGTTTTTGAGAGGCTTCTATTTAATTTCAGCAAGTATGTATATACATATCTAATGACAAAGTAGGATTGTTTAATTATAGAACATTCGTAGTCTAGATCAGCGGTTCTCAACCTTTCACAGGGGTCGCCTAAGACCATCGGAAAACACATATTTTCGATGGTCTTAGGAACCGAGACACCACTCCTCTATCCATCTCCAGGCCCACATGCAGATATGCCCACATACGAGTACCCGGCGACCCCTGTGAAAGGGTCGTTCAACCCCAAAGGGGTCGCGACCCACAGGTTGAGAACCGCTGGTCTAGATATAGCACAGAATAGTCATTCAACAGATCAGAATATAACAGTTTCAAGACTTGGTGGCTGAAAGGCCCTGAGAGATTAGGTCGTTCAACAATCATTTTACATTTGATTCAACTGAAGCCCGTATGTTGTATTATCTGTTTGCCCTCTCCCAGAATTCTCTGTCCTGAGATGTACTTCAGGTCAGTACTCTGTGGGTGCAACACTGGGATTCCTTTTGCTCTCTGGCTTCCTGTTGGGGTTGGCGAGGGCAAAGTCCCAATAGGATAGGAAGAGGGAGAAGGGTCAGGGTGTGTGTCCAGCTTCCTCCTCTCACTGTCTCTGCTTTAACACTGCAGTCTGGCTTGTCCCCTGAGTACAGCTCCTGTCAGGTGTCCCCTCCACCCTGGCTGCAGCCCTCACCAGGCTCTGGTGATTCTATTCCTTCCTTGGCCTTTTCAAGCCAGGAGGTAGAAATGGCTTCCTGAGGTTGCAAGTCCCTGAGTGCCTCACCATTCTTGGTTGTTCACTCCTCTGTAAGTAGCCCATTTATTAAGTTTTCTTCAGAAACCCAATAGAGACTTTTTTTCCTGCCATGATCCTGTCTGACAACACTAGAGAAATGAAATGTCTTGTTCAAGGTCACGTGGCTCATTTATGAAAGAAACTATGTGCTCCTCTGGTCCCCTGCTTCTAACCTCGATTACAGTATTCTTAATGAAAGATACATTTCAAGACTCAGCTGAGTAATTGCTAACATTTGTAGAGCGCCGACCATGTACCAAGTGTTATCCTATGTGCATTACATGTACTCCCTCATTTAATTCTTGTAGCAGTCCTATGAGCGAGGGCCTGTATCCTGTCTTATAGATGAGAAAGCAGGTGATTGCTGAAGGGTACGTCACCAGTTGTTTGCAGGGCTGGGCTTTGAATCTCTGCTTTCTGACTCCAGAACTTCCGCTTTGTACGGAATCACTAGACACTACTAATGGGTATGACAATTGTGATAGCAATGTTTTCTTCTAGAAATTGATGGATTGTTGTAAGAAGGAGAAAATCCGGTTATGCGAATTATCCAAGCGGCCACATTAGCACACAAATAGGCTCAAAATCAAATTGGGTATTCTGGCCTCTTTCTAATGAACCTGATCCTTCTTAGAGAGAATTGCCTTTACTGGCAGATCTCAATTTTTAGACAGACTGCAGAATTTCATACAACTTGTTAGTATTCCTTGTTGGAATTTCCATATTCTTATGTTATTATATATTTTTAGGGTTTTAATGTTAGAAATGTCATTGCCTACATAATTACTTCATGGACATAAGGACTCATAGCCTTTAAAACTGTGTGTGCCCTTAAAAATGATCCCAAGGTAGAGGAGGGAATGAAGATTTAAAACTAGTGTTTCGATGGGTTGAGAACATCAGTGAGGAACTGACTGAGAATTTAAAGCTCTAAATTTTAATTAATGTTGTGACTTTTCTGTGGCGTATTACTACCCATCCCTCCTCCATTATAATCCTCAGGACATTGGAAAGATGTCATTTCATAGAAAGAGTCAAACAGTCTTTATATGTTTAAGAAAACACTGTGTCAGACAAGAAAGCCTTTGTGGAAAGATTAAACAAGCATGTAGCATAAACAGGAACAAACAGGAAAAATAAACCTTTGCAGAAAGATTTATTGGATGCAATGTGATCAGAGCCTTAGTCTACAGAAAATGTTTGCATCCCAGTTTACTTTAGATAATTGTAGGAAAGAGATTATTTTCTTTCACTAAGTAAGTTCCTTTCCCACTTTCCCTCCTGTTTTATCATAATCGGTAACATAAACATAGTTCCAAGTGACTTATTTGAAAACAGTTGTAAAGCAACAAGAAACATTGAGAAACCGTGCTTGAAATTCATCACTGAGTAACGTGGCATTTAACATGGAAAACTGTAATGACACATTGCTGTATCATTTACTGATGTATTAGCACAGCACTGCTAATATTTTGTCTAGATGCGGATTACTTATGGAGATCACTAATTCCCAAAGTGCGTTTCATCAATTGCTATTCCCATTAGATGCTCTGTGAAAAAAGCTTCTGTGACCCCAGCACTTCTGGAAAATGCTATATGTTATATCTCCCTCTTGGTAATGCAGTTTACACTTTAGCTTACTAAGGCATCTGAAAAGCCCTTCCGTAAAGAAACTGTTTTACTCTCTTGCCCAGAGTTTCCCCAACATATTTTACCATCTTTTGACAAATAGGTAAATCCTTGTTTTGTAGATTCAGTGGACTCAAACAGCAACTTCACATAATCTACAGATTTATCTCTGACATGGAACACAGGTTTTAATATTTTCCCTGTAAAATGTAGAGTCATAAAATAATATAAATGATGTGCTGTCACCTTTTAAAGTTAGTAACACAATGAAGGAAAGAGGTCATAGTGTCTTCCCAATTCTAAGTCTCTGTTGTACTATTTTTGAACGTTGTACCCAATAATAGAGAATTAGATTTATTTTTCTTGAGTGAAGAATCTGAAAGAAGTTTTAACTATGTGTTCTAAGCCATGTAGGAACTTCATAATTTAAGTTAGATTTTAGCCTGTATAATTGTCATTTGGTCATTCAATAATTTCTTCCTTATGTTCTTTGAACAATTTACTTAGAGGCCTTCAAATGATCATTTTCTTCTATTATATTATTGGATTAATTCACTTAGGGAGTTTATATTTATTTGTCAATTGCTGAACATTTATTTCTGTAGCATGTTTGAAATAGCAGTTCTTTAGTTTGTCTCTGTCTTTGGTTTTATGCTACTCAGAAACTAACTCGAAATATCTAGGAACACTGAATGGTACCATAAGATTATAAACCCATTTTCTCCTAATTCACCATAGTTTCTTTGGTCTCTTACTATTATTTCCTGTTATTTTTTATAACTTAATTGCTATTTAAACTTGGCACCAAAGGGACTGATAGTTTACAAGACCAGTGCTCTAACCCCTGAGCTATGGAGCCTACTGGGACGGATAGTTTAATTGGGCATAATATTGCCATTTTATTGTAGTCATTATTATTGATCGACTTGTTTTAAAAAATTTCTCATCACTTATTCCTCCTTCCTGCTGCTGTAAATATATCATTTTCATAATGAAGTACCATTAGTTTTAGTGATTTTATTTCGATTATTCTTATATAGCTACTCTGGGAGTATTCAGATATTTTAGAGCAGCTAATTTGATACATTGTTTAGGTCCTAAGATTTAAGTTTATACATGCATATTTTTTCCTTTGGACTCAAACTGATGATATTCCTAACCATTAACTATCTAGTTAATGAATTTGTATCTCATCCTGTCCTATAAAGATCAATTCTATAAACAACTGTTAGCATTCTTAGAACAAATCAAAATTGCTCTTTCATCTGGTTGGCGAAGCAAAAGTAGGTAATTGGTTAAAACGTTAAAAGGAAAAAGTGTGGGCTCAGAAGTAGTAAAACTTTGTTAGCTCTGACCCTGATGTTGACACATTGTATGACAATGTAGATTATCTCAAATTTCCAGAATTTAGCTTTTTCTATAGTCCATTTATGTCACAAAGACATGCATAGGATTAAACAGTGGAGTTCCAGACATAAAGGAAACTGGAAGTGAATGCAAAGGGTGTCTTCAGAAAGATTCCAGGAAATCCATAGAGCATAACTATCTACCCCATTGTTAATAATTTCTTGTTTTGGTAATGTATTCCAATTTTGGTGATTTGGTGAGAAGAGGGAAACAAAGGGCAATGACTTTAAGGCCCACCCTATCATTTACTAAATACAAATAGAGGGGACCCATGGTGCAGTTTTTAAAAAGACCAAAATAAGAACACAGAGATTTGTTTTCTGGTCCAGCTCTGCCATTAAAACTTTGGCACTGAATAAATGACTTAACTCTCATTGGCCTTGGAGTCCTCATCTATAAAATGAGGCATATTTGATTGATTGGTATCTGTATTAGTCAGGATTCTCCAGAGAAATAGAACCAATAGAATGTGTACGAGTATGTATATATATAAAGATATTTGTTATGAGGAATTAGCACATACTGTTGTAGAGGTTTACTGTATGTACATATATAAAGAGATTTATTATAAGGAATTAGCACATACTGTTGCAGAGGTTTACAAGTCTGAAATCTGCTGGGTGAGCCAGCAGCCTGTATCCAGAAAAGGTGATATTCCAGTTCAAGTTCAAAGGTTTTCTGCATGGAAGTAGGAAGAGCCCATGTTATGGATGAAGTCCGAGGGCAGTCTGCCCGAGAATTCTCTCTTGCTTGGGGGAGGCCAGTCTTTTTTGTTCTATTCAGGCCTTTGACTGATTGGATGAGGTGCTCCGCATTATGGGCAGCACTCTGCTTTACTCAGTCTACCAATTTAAATGTTAATAACATACAAAAACACTCTGAAACACTCAGAATGTTTGACCAAATATTTTGGCACCCCACAGCCCAGAGAAGTCGACACAAAATTAACCATCACAATATCTAAGGAACTGTTAATTCTAATAGTTTATGAAATTTTTAGTCAGTTATCTCCTGATTCCATATGATAGCTCATAGGTCAATGTCAGTAACTGTTTCAGCATGCATTTATTCATCCAGCAAGTCTTTATTGGGCACTTTTTAGGTGCCAGGCATCGTGCTAGGTAGAAGATTTGAATTTGATTCTGAGAGCAATGGAAAACTTTCAAAAGTTTTGAAGGTATCTCATTTACATATTAAAAGATCATTTTGGCTGAGATATGGAAAATTGCTTTGAGCATTGCAAACATGGATATGAGTAAGGATATCAGTAAAGGAGGTTCTTGTAATAAGCAATGACTTCTCATTGGCCCAGACTGGGCTGGTGGTGGTGAAGGTGATACAGTGTCTTCGGGAAAGTACTGAAATATATCACTGACAGTTATCAGAAACTCATTGTCAAAAAGTAAGACTGTAGAGTTTTGAGCATGCATGATCCTTGATTTAGTTCTTTTTCTCATGCAGTACATGTGACTACTACTATCTGCTTTTTTAACCCCCAAAAGTTATAAGAAAAAAATTATAAAACACTCTCCACATAATTTTAGAAGAATCAGTATGAAATGGTAAAATGTCAACACTTCTCCCACCTATTCTTAAATGTGAATCTTGAACTATCCACTTGTAAGAAATAGAAAGGCATCAAAAAACAATGGCCCCCTTAGTGGGAGGTGGTCTGTTCTAAGAGTGCTGTGGGATGGTCACAGACAGAGAAAAGGTGGTCACAAGATACTTCTTCACACACAGCTTGCAGAAGGGTATCGTGTCAGTGGGGAAGGGTCACGAGAAGTGGGAGCGTCCGGCTGTAGCATGGCAAGACAGCCATTCTTGATCTGACTGCAGCCTATGTTTCTAATGTCATCTGCTCGCGTTCGTGGCACTCTGTCCACAGTGAGCATAACATGGGGTCTCATGCCTGTTTAAGGACACTTTCAGCTCTTCCTGGCCTGACACCCCACCCCCACCCCCCATCCACCCCCAGTCTTCCTGGAAAGTTCCTATGTAAACCTTTGAGTTTTTTTCTGCAGCTTCATTTATCTTCCCAATCAGAGTTAGTTACTCCTTCTGTGACACTGTGTGAACCTTTATATATCACTTAGTGATATTGTTCATGAGTTTGTCTCCCTCAGTAGACTACGATGACTTGGAGACAGAGAACCTATTTATCTTAGTGTCTTAATTAACTGATAAAGCTCACAAACACATATTGGGCACATACTGGTACCAGTGTTAGGCTTTCAAATTCCTTGCTGTATAAATTCCATGAAGGGCAGGGACCATATTTTTGAATGAGAAAATTAGTGAATTATTCACATACCAATGGTGAATATGCTTTTGATATGCTTTTCTCAAATTTCTGGAATTATTTCTGCGTGGTAGCATAGACCAACTCTTAAACTTAATATTTTGGGGATAAAATCAAGAAGAAGCTTTTTATCTAGTGGCTAAAAGTGATCTTGTGTTTTCAGCAATCTTTCTGCACCCATTTGGTAGTTTTGTATTATTCTTTGTGTTCTGCGGAGGAATCTAACCTTTCTTTTTTCTTTTCAGGGACCATAATTTTGACTATTTGGAGTTCCGCCTTTGGATTGGCCTTTGGTCAGCCTTCCTGTGTCTCGTTTTGGTTGCTACTGATGCCAGCTTCTTGGTTCAGTACTTTACTCGCTTTACCGAAGAAGGATTCTCTTCTCTCATCAGTTTCATCTTTATCTACGATGCTTTCAAGAAGATGATCAAGCTTGCGCATTACTACCCCATCAACTCCGACTTCAAAGTGGGCTATAATACTCACTTTTCCTGTGCCTGTATGCCGCCGGACCCAGGTGAGGACATCATGCCTAATGCTTGTGCTTGCCCTGTGTTTGGAGGAAGGTGTGGGATTCATGCCTGACAGCTTTCAACATGGTATCGTGATCCTCAGGAAAGGAGCTTATTTTCGTTTCTCTGAGAAACCACCTTGCTGAATTTAAAGTCTCATTGCCTGAGGTATCTTAGCCATGTGATTTAATCAGGAGGTGAAACCAGGAGCTCTGGAATATAAACATAATTAGCTCAATACTTAAACTCAAACTGTAGTATTTGCAAGGAAATTTTGTGTGTATCATCCTTGATCTTATCTGATGGGTGAGGAAACCAGCCACATGTACTAGGGCTACCAAAAAAACGTATACACATGACTTATATACATCTTTTGTTGTTGCTATATATTGAGTATTACAATTTTAATGTAATCTTTTCTTTTCTTAAAATGTGCGTACATTTTTTTGGCACCCTCTGATTAACAGATGTAAGGACCAGACAAACCTAGTCCTCTGAACCTCTATCCCGTATTTCACTGCTTCCTTATTGCTATAGTAAACTCTAAATAGATTATTTTAAGTCTATGGAAGAAACGAAGAAGATACTAATTCACTTTGTGTAATTTGAAGCATGAAATTACAAAATAAATTAGACTTGAGTCACCTAGTAGTAACGTAGAGCCTTAATGTTCATCTCTATTAGACAACATAAAAAAGAAAGGAAAAGAAGAAACAAAAGAAAGTAAGAAAAGAAGGAATGTTATGTTTTCAGAGAAGATTTATACTCGTGTCAAGAAAGACATAAAAATAAAAGTAACTTCTGGGTAAGGAATATGATTCTGTACATCTTAGCACTTTTAACATCCATCTTGCGAAACCTGAGAACTTTTTCACAAAAACATGTTCAACCTGGTCTTTGGAAATTTTTTCTTGGAGTAATTTGTCATCATTTAATAACATGGAAGGCATTTTTTAAAAAGAATTCACTTTGAGGAACGTTGCTTTACATCTGTTCTAGGCAGTTAAATGGTAATAGTGCTGGTGATCCCAAGTTAAGCAATTAGCTACAGACTGATGCCCCTTAAGGTAAAAATTGATGTACAACACATGCTTTTTGACTGAGGCCTTATAGCACTAGAAGCGCAGGAGTGTTCTGAGGCCTGTGTAAGCCTTGGCCTAAGCGCGGGGCACATTCATGCAAGTCTGAGGAAAAGCCTCTTAATATTTACAGTAAAACAAACATGCTTATATTATAGATTAGAATACAAAATGCTTATGAATTTAAAAACTAAACAAGATGCTGCAAAGAATTTTGATGCTTGTGGCAGGCTGTGTCAGATTACTGCCAGGTATTTGAGTAGCATATCTTCATTTTTCTCTTCCACTTTGGTGGAGAAGTCTTAGAAGATGGATATGTATCTTGATGGTGAGAGAAAAGAGAACAGTATCTCCCTAAAAATGAGGCTGTCAGTAACATTGATGAAAAGATAGGGTATTGTTGGGCTTTGCACTCAAGGATATTTTTTGTCTTGTTTAAGAAAAATCAACACACATGACAAGAAAACCCATGCTTACAAGCAAAGCAGAGAGAATACAAAGTGGAAATATAAAGATTCAAGAGAACATGAATGATATAGTTGTTGTTATTATTAAGATGTATATTAATTGGAAATACTTCATAACTTAAAAAGTACTTAGAAAAGAGTAAGTACTCAATACATGATAGGTATTATTATTATTAGAATCAAATAAATATGTTCCTCAGAGAACACAGATTTTACCATGACACAACTGTGTAGAGCTCTTCTAGGAGAGAAGGGGGCAAAACCTGTAGTAACCATCCATCCTGGACTTTCAGGGGAAGTCCACACTATACACATTCAAAATGTTGAATCACAGACATATGGCAAGTCCTCGAATAACATTATTTTTGTTCATATGTTGATGCTATGCTATAGGAACTTATCTCTTATTTATAATCAGTTAGCCTACAGTAAAATTGGTTTTCTCGTATTTCATTTCGCCTAAAGTTACAGAACCTATTGATGGCGTTGAGTGAGGACTTACTGTACTTAATTGTGGGATTTTGAACACTCGTTTTCATTTATTTATTTCTCTCTATCTGTATTTATCTATGTATTTATAGAAAAGTCTGTAAGCTGACTTCTTAGGTATGTCTGAGTAATCATACATTAAGATTTTCTAAAGGAAAAAAAATACTACTGAGCTGTACTAAGATTTGAGTCATTCATAAAGCTAGATGAGGGCTTCGTCAGCTCCCCTGTCCCAAAAAAGATCTCTTATACCTCTTATCAGCCCTGTACCTACCTGAGGCTCATGGAAACTTGCATCCATTGTTTTTGTTTTTTTTTTAAAGATATTTATTGGGGAATCGGGGGAAGGGGAACAGACAAGTTGCTGTCGTTTTGTTCTTCAGTCTAGTTGTGGAGGACGTTGCTTCACTGGCCCAAGTTGGCACCATCA